GCGGCGGCGGGGCCGGGAATGGGCGGCGGCGATCAGGCAGCGCGGCGGGCAGCCCCTGCGCGGCGCGAGGAAAGGGCCGGGTGGGCCCCGCGGCCGCGCAGGAAGGTTCCGGGAAGGGGGAGCGGTAATAAAGTAGCACCAATAACTAAGTTAATTAAAATCATTCTTATTCTAATAATTAACTAAAACACCAGGGGGAGGCTGGGCCCTTGCCGGTATTGCCTGGATTTCTGCTGGAAAGGACTGGCTGCTTTTGGAAAAAATGAAAGAAAAAATAAAATAAAAGGAAAGAAAATAAAAGGAAAGAAAGAAAATAAAACTTTTAAAAATATAAAATAAAACATAAAATAAAATACTAAAAGTGTCTATAACAAAATATTTAAAAATAAAGAAAAATTAAAAAATTAAAATGAAAAGTAATAGAACCAGAGGGAAAATAAAATACTTAAAAATAAAATAAAATACTTAAAAATAAAATAAAATAAAATAAAATAAATAAAATAAAATAAAATAAAATAAAATAAAATAAAATAAAATAAAATAAAATAAAATAAACCCTGATGAGTCATAAAAATCTGTGGACTCTCCCAACACCAACTCCAGGCAGGCACAGCAAATAAACTTGGGACACCCTGGAGATTCCCACATTGCACCCCAAAATCCCCGCCAAAAATTCCACAGGGAAATTCCCAAAAATCCCAGCAGGGAACCGTGGGGGGGAACCGCAGGCACAGAGCTCGGCCTTCCTTCCCCTTCGTCATCCCCGCTCCTCCAGCGCCATCCCGAGGCCATTCCCGCTTTTCCAGGGCTTTTTCCTCAGAGCCATTCCCGCTTTTCCAGGGCTTTTTTCTCAGAGCCATTCCCGCTTTTCCAGGGCTTTTTCCTCAGAGCCATTCCCGCTTTTCCAGGGCTTTTTCCTCAGAGCCATTCCTGCTTTTCCAGGGCTTTTTCCTCAGAGCCATTCCCGCTTTTCCAGGGGTTTTTCCTCAGAGCCATTCCCGCTTTTCCAGGGCTTTTTCCTCAGAGCCATTCCCGCTTTTCCAGGGGTTTTCCCGAGGGTCATTCCCGAATTTCCAGAGCTTTTTTCCCGAGGCCACTCCCGCTCTTCCAGAAGTTTCCCTGAGGGCCATTCCCGCTTTTCCAGAGCTTTTTCCTCAGAGCCATTCCCGCTTTTCCAGGGCTTTCCCCCAAGGATCATTCTCACTTTTCCAAAGGTTTTTCCCGAGGCCATTCCCACTTTTCCAGAGGATCTACACAAATCCACTCTGGAATGCCAGAACAGGGATCGGATCCATCTAATCCACGCTGGGACTGCCAGGACAGAGGATGGATCCATAAAAACCCCTCTGGAAATGGCAGGAAAAGTTGGATCCATCCAAATCCACTCTGTGAATGCCAAAACAGGGACTGGATCCATAAAAAAACCACTCTGGGAATGCCAGGAGAGGCTGGATCCATAAAAAACTCACTCTGGAATGGCAAAACAAGGACTGGATCCATAAAAAATCCACTCTGGAATGGCAGAGCAGGGATTGGATCCATTAAAAACTCATTCCCATTCCCACTCCCACTCCCACTCCCATTCCCACTCCACTCTGGAATGGCAAAACAAGGACTGGATCCATAAAAAATCCACTCTGGAATGGCAGAACAGGGATTGGATCCGTAAAAAAATCACTCTGGAATGGCAGGAGAGGTTAAATCCATTCAATTCCCACTCTGGAATGGCAGGAGGGGTTGGATCCATTCAATTCCCTCTCTGGAATGGCAGGAGGGGTTGGATCCATTCAATTCCCTCTCTGGAATGGCAGGAGGGGTTGGATCCATTCAATTCCCTCTCTGGAATGGCAGGAGGGGTTGGATCCATTCAATTCCCTCTCTGGAATGGCAGGAGGGGTTGGATCCATTCAATTCCCTCTCTGGAATGGCAGGAGGGGTTGGATCCATTCAATTCCCTCTCTGGAATGGCAGGAGGGGTTGGATCCATTCAATTCCCTCTCTGGAATGGCAGGAGGGGTTGGATCCATTCAATTCCCTCTCTGGAATGGCAGGAGGGGTTGGATCCATTCAATTCCCTCTCTGGAATGGCAGGAGGGGTTGGATCCATCCCCATCCCGCTGGGAATTCCAGCACATCCCCCACGGGTGCAGAAAAGAAACAAAAAAAGCCTTTTTTTTTTAATTATTTTTTCCTCCATAAAAAGCTCCTGAATCCATTTTATTGCACAAAGAAAGGAAAAGATTCCCACTAAAGCCATCCTCGGCCAGGGGCAGCTGGAATTTCAGCCAAGGAATTCCACCTTCCCTGGGAAGTCCAGGGGGAATTCCCAACTCCTCAGTTCCTCACGGAGCCACCCAGGGCCGTTTCCTGCTCCAGATCCACCCCAAAAATGCAGGAAGCAAACTGGGATTTCCAGGAATTTGGGAAAGAACCTTGCCCAGGATCCCACTCTTCCCTATCCCCATTTTTTTTTTATTCTTTCCAAACAAATTCCAGCCCTGGAGTGAAGGTGAGGGGAAGAAGGAAGGATCTCATTTCCCATCCAACTTGGAAAAAAAAAAAAGCTGGAAAATCCTCATTTTTTAAAAATATTCCTGTGCAAACTCAGCCCAATGTAAAACTGCCATGATGAATTCCAAGCCCCAAATCCTGATTTTCAAGGAATTTTGGCACTTTCCCCCATGGAAAAATCAATCATTTGAAGGACTTTTTGTGCTGCTACAAAGCTGAACCTCTGAGGAATGCAGCGTGGAAGCAAGGGAAGGTTTCTCCAGCCATTCCAAGAAATTGAAGGAAGCAAAGGAGAGGGGAAAAAGAGGAGGGAAAGGTGGGATTAGGGATCAATAGCTTATCCAGGTGGGGTTTTCCAAGTCCCCATAGAAAAAAACAAGGAAGCTTTGCTCCTGTCCATGTAAACATTTCCAGCTCCTTGGAGCTTCCCAACACTTCCTTATCCTAAAGTTTGGTGCGTTTTCCTTCCTCTCCAAGCGCTCTGGAATTGCTGCCAGCGGCAGAGGGAGGAGCAGGATGGTGCTCCTGGGCTTTTGGGAAGGGATTTTCCCATCCCAAGGTTTGGGGTGGGATTGGTAAAGCCCCCCCGTGAGCCCCAAGGGTTTGGGTTTTCCATCCCTCAATTCCATAGGGAGAACAGGGATTGGGATGGAGCTGTCACCCCCCTGAGCCCCTCCCTGTCCCAAACAATTCCATAGGGATAACAGGGTGGGATTTGGATGGAGCTCTCACCCCCCTGTCCCACAGAATTCCACAGGGATAACAGGGATTGGGATGGAGCTGTCACCCCCCTGAGCCCCTCCCTGTCCCACACAATTCCACAGGGATAAGAGGGTGGGATTGGGATGGAGCTGTCACCCTCCTGAGACCCCTCTGAGCCCCACCATGTCCCAAACAATTCCATAGGGATGACAGGGATTGGGATGAAGCTGTTACCCCCCTGTCCCACAGAATTCCACGGTGATAACAGGGATTGGGATGGAGCTGTCACTCCCTGTCCCACAGAATTCCACAGGGATAACAGGCTGGGATTGGGATGGAGCTGTTACCCCCCTGTCCCATACAATTCCACAGGGATAACAGGCTGGGATTGGGATGGAACTGTCACCCCCCCTGTCCCACAGAATTCCACAGGGATAACAGGGATTGGGATGGAGCTCTCACCCCCCTGAGCTCCTTCCTGTCCCACAGAATTCCACAGGGATAACAGGCTGGGATTGGGATGGAGCTGTCACCCCCCGAGCTCCTCCCTGTCCCCCCTCGGGGCTGGCTCGCAGCTCCACGGCAGAGGCGGGGCTGGAACTGCCAAAATCCCGCCGCAATTCCCGAATCCTGCCGCAGCTCCCGCTCAGGTGGAGTCATCCAGGCCTTTGTTGGGATGCTCGGAGGGGGCCCGGCAGAGCCTGTCCATGATTCCCTGGAGCATGGGCTGCACGATTCCCAGGAGAGGCCGCTGGGAGGAGTCCCCGTCCCAGCAGGCTTCCATCAGCTGCCAGCATTCCTCGTCAAACACCGGGAGCCGCTCCGGACGCACCCCTGGAAACACAGCGGGATCACGGGAACGCCAGGGCTTCCAGGGAAAGCCCTGATCCATGCCAACACCCAGGGAAAGCACCTGGAGGGGTTGGATGGCACAAGGGATCACCAGGAATTTCCAGGGAAAGCCCTGATCCATGCCAACATCCAGGGAAAGCACCTGGAGGGGTTGGGGGGCACAGGGCATCACCAGGAATGCCAGGAATTTCCAGGGAAAGCAAGTGGAGGGGTTGGGTGGCACAGGGGATCACCAGGAATTTCCAGGGAAAGCCCTGCCCCTGCTCACATCCAGGGAAAGCAGGTGGAGAGCTTGGATGGCACAGGGGATCACCAGGAATTTCCAAGGAAAGCCCTGCTCACATCCAAGGAAAGCACCTGTAGGGGTTGGGTGGCACACTGGGATCACCAGGAATGCCAGGAATTTCCAAGGAAAGCAGTTGGAGGGGTTGGGTGGCACAGGAATTCCAGGAATGTCAGGAATTTCCAGAGAAAGCCCTGCCTGGCAGTCACATCCAAGGAAAACAGGTGGAGGGGTTGTGATCACCAACCAGGATCACCAGGATCCTGATTCCAGGATCACCTGGAATGCCAGGAATTCCCAAGGAAAGCAGCTGGAGGGGCTGGGTGGGGTCTGGAGCTCCTGGGAAAGGGGCACATTCCAGCAGTGCTGCCAAGGCTGAGGGCACTGGTGGACACTTCCAGAGGGTGGCCAAATCCATGGAATCATGGACTGGAACACTGGGCTGGGCTGGGAGGGACCTTGAGCTCATCCCATTCCATGGGCAGGGACCTTCCCCATCCCAGGCTGCTCCAACCTGGCCTGGGACACTCCCAGGGATCCAGGAGCAGCCATGGATTCTCTGGGAATTCCATCCCAGCCCCTCCCAGGGAAGGATTTATTCCCAATATCCCATTCAAAGCAGCCCAGGGAATGCTGGAATGGGTTGGGATGGGAGGGATCATCCAACCCCATGGGCAGGGACACCTCCCACCATCCCATGCTGCCATTTTATCCTTTTTATCCATTTTATCCCTTTTATCCATTTTATCCTTTTTATCCACTCTCCAACCTGGCCTAGGGCACTTCTAGAGATGGGGCAGCCACGGATAATCTGGGATTTTACAAGCTGGGAATGAGCCAGGAGTCCTGAAATTGGGATTTTTTATGGAATCCTGGAATGGGTTGGGTTTGAAGGGATCACCCAGTGCCATGGGCAGGGACACCTCCCCCCATCCCAGGCTGCCATTTGATCATTTTTGTCCTATTTTACCCATTTTATTCACTTTATCCACTGTCCCACCAAGCCTGGGACACTCCCAGGGATGGAGCAGCCACAACTCCCCTGGGAATTCCATCCCAGCCCCTCCCAGGGAGGGACTGCTTGGACTCCATCCCAGAAATCTTTTCCAACTTCAGGGATTCTGGGATTTTTACCTTTCACCTCTCCACCACCAGAACAAAACCGGATTTTCCCACCCCCCAGGCGTTTCAGAGCTGAGGCAAGGCCAGGTACCTCTCCTGACGTTGTTCCACAGGTGATCTTTGCTGGCACACCTCTCAAAAGCCTCAGGTAACTTCACATGGCCCGAGCAGAGGTACCAGAACAGGATCCCAAAGGCATAAACATCCACGGAATTGTCGTATTTCCCTGGGGAAAAACCAGGTGGGATCAGCAGGGGAAAATCCCTGGGAGCTGGGCGGGCTGCGAGGTGATTCCAGGCTCCCACTTCCCCACACCTGAACCCCAATTTCACAGCAGGAAGGCAAAACTTGTGTGAAGCCCAGGAAGGCAGCAGGAGCTGGGATCAAGGTTAAGCTGCTCCAATTCCCTGGATTTATAAATTTAAGCTGTACCAGGAATTCCAAACTGAGCTCAGGTGTGTTTTTAACACCAACACCTGTGAGGTGAGGCTCTGTCACAGCCAAACATCAGCCTCTCATCCCAGAAATATCCCAGATATCCCCTAAATCCACACCAACAGAGATGCTTCCATTGGAGCCCAACCTTATCCAAGCAGGAGCAGCCCTGGCAGACCAAAAGGATTGGGATAAGTGGGATTGGAACTTCCAAGTGGCTCCAAAACTCAGGAAAAACCCTCGGAGCAGCTGCCAGAATTCCCTGAACCAAACTCACTCCAAGGTAGGACCAGCTTGGGAATTCCTTCCAGGGAATCCTTCCTGGAGTATTTCCCTATGAAAGCCAAGGATTTCCAGCTTCCTCCTAATGCTAATTTACCTTTCTAATTGCAAGGGCGTTAATTACCTCAGCAGAGCTGACCAACCCCATTATCCTCTGTCAAGAGTGGCACTTCAAACACAGGAAAAATCCAGGGCACGCACGGAAAGCAGGGAATTGCCTGGGGTTGGAATGCTCTCAGGAGCAACTGAGAGATGAATTCCAAGGAATTGCAGAGCAGGGATCAGGGGGATCCTACCTGTGAAGAGCTCGGGAGCCATGTGGATGGGGGTGCCCACGATGCTGCCAGACATCATCGCCTCGGGTTTGCAGAACCCCAAATCTGTGATTTTGGCCCTGTTCTTTTTGTCCAGCTGGGGAAAAAGCCACAGGCAGGCAGGTGAGGACTCTGTTTCTCCCATAAAATATTGATTTTTGATATTGTGCTGGTTTTGCGAAAAAAATTAAATTTTAATACATTTTTTTTCTGGTTATTGTCATCACCATGAAATGAGACTGATGCTGGAAACTGAACAGCTTGATATGTGTTCTGTGGCAGCAGCTGTCTGGCCACAGATAGCAACACACAGCTGTGCCAGGCACTGTCCTTCCTCTGCAGAAGGTTCAGCACAGAAAATTTGGGTCATTTTTGGCCCCTGAGTCCCTGCAGCGACGGGCAGAATATTCAGCAGAGAATATTTGGGTCATTTTTGGCCCTGTTCTCCAGCCCAGAACAAGGGAAGAAGCCCCAAAATCTCTGCAGAAGGTTCAGTACAGAAAATTTGGGTCATTTTTGGCCCTGTTCTCCAGCCCAGAACAAGGGAAGAAGCCCCAAAATCTCTGCAGAAAGTTCAGCTGAAGATCAGAGAAAAGAATGAGAAACAATTCTGATTTTAACTTGCTGCACCTGTTGCTGTGAACATGTAAAATGTGTAAAATGGAGATTTGTTTACCAAAGTGTGGTTTCTTAATTAGCCAGTGGAGATGGTGCTTGGATTGGAGGACCAGTGAGGTTCAGCTGTATCCTAACTACATTTTTGTCTACAAAAGCAATGGGTTTCTTAATGAAGATGATTATTGATCAGCCTTCTGTGAACCATGGAGTCAATGCCAATTATCACCCAGCCAGGGGCCTGTTGGTGATTTTGTACATAATTAAATAAATATAAACCCCTGGCCAGCACTAAATGGTGCCCTGTGTGAGGGGCTCCTGCTCCCTTTGCCCCAGAATTCCAGCCGGGAAAGGAGGCAGCAAAACCTCCCTGTGGCTGACACCAGCACAGCTTAAAATATCCCACATGGAGAAATTTATTGCCTCACTTCCAGCTTGTTTTTTCCCATGAAAAAGGCTCTGGGATGAGGCAGAGGCAGGGATTTTCCTTACCAGGACGTTTTTGAGTTTGATGTCCCTGTGCACCAAGCCCTGGCTGTGCAGGTACCGGATCCCTTCCACCACGTCCAACGCAATCTGCAACCGTGGCTCCAGCTCCAGCCCAGCCTGAGGGGAAAAACGTGGATTTTAGTCCTAAATGTTGCTTTGGCCTGCTCTTCTTTACCAAAATTCAGCAATTCCAGCTTTGTTTTACAGATTAATGGGGAATTTTTAATTAGAGAATCAGTTTTGGGTTGGAAAGGAGATTAAAATTCATCCCATGGGCAAGGACCATTCCCACTAAACCAGGTTTAGTCTGAGGGGAAAACTCAGATTTTATGCCTAAAAGTTACTTTGGCCTGTTCTTCTTTGCTAAAATTGAGTAATTCTAGCTTTATTTCCCAGATTAATGGGGAATTTTTAATTAGAGAGTCAGTTTGGGGGTTGGGAGATTAAAACTCATCCCATGGGCAAGGAACACTTCCCACTAAACCAGGTTAAGTCTGAGAGGAAAAACTCAGATTTTATGCCTAGAAGTTACATTGGCCTGTTCTTTTTTGCTAAAATGGAGCAATTCCAGCTTTGTTTTACAGATTAAATGGAAATTTTTAATTAGAGAATCGATTTTGATTTGCAAGAGAGATTAAAACTCATCCCATGGGTAGAGGGACACTTCCCACTAAACCAGGTTTAGTCTGAGGGGAAAAACTCAGATTTTAGTCCTAAAAGTTACTTTGGCCTGCTCTTCTTTACCAAAACTCTGAAAATTTAATAATTCCAGCTTTGTTTTACAGATTAAGGGTTTTTTTTTAATTAGAGAATCAGTTTTGGGTTGGGAAAGAATAAAAATCATCCCATGGACAGGGACCATTCCCACTAAACCAGCTTTAGCCTGAGGGGAAAAACTCAGATTTTAGTCCTAAAAGTTACTTTGGCCTGCTCTTCTTTACTACTATTGAGTAATTCTAGCTTTGTTTTATGGATTAATGGGGAATTTTTCATTAGAAAATCACTTTTGGGTTGGAAAGGAGATTAAAACTCATCCCATGGGCAGGGGGACACTTCCCACCAAACCAGGCTGCTCCAAGCTCTGTCCTGGCACTTCCAGGGATAAAATAAAAACAAAATAAATATTGAATAAGAGAATTTGGCACCTTCAGCCCCGTGTAGAGATCCCTGTGCAGCCTCTCCATGATCAGCAGCACAGCAATGCTGGAGCCTCCTCCATAGCCATAATCAATGACGGAGCCATGCAGGTGCACCAGCCTCTCGTGGGACTGCAGGGACCTGCAGAGGGGTCAGCACACAAAATTGGGGTCATTTTTATCCCTACGTTGGGAACAGGCCAAGGGAAGAAGCCCCAGAGACTCTGCAGAAGGTTTAGCACACAAAATTTGGGTCATTTTTGGCCCCTGAGTCCCTGCAGGGAACCTGGAGCAGATTCAGCACAGGAATTTTGGGTCATTTTTGGCCCTGTTCTCCAGCCCAGGCCAAGGGAAGAAGCCCCAGAGACTCTGCAGAAGGTTTAGCACACAAATTTTGGGTCATTTTTGGCCCTGTTCTCCAGCCCAGGCCAAGGGAAGAAGCCCCAAAATCTCTGCAGAAGGTTTAGCACACAAAATTTGGGTCATTTTTGGCCCTGTTCTCCAGCCCAAGCCAAGGGAAGAAGCCCCAGAGTCCCTGCAGGGACCTGCAGAAGATTCAGCACAAAAAATTGGGATAATTTTTGCCCCCTGAGTTCTTGCAGGACCTGGAACAGATTTAGCACAAAAAAATTGGGATAATTTTTGACCCCTGAGTCCCTGCAGGGACCTGGAGCAGATTCAGCACACAAAATTTGGGTCATTTTTGTCCCCAGTCTCTAGCCCAGGCCAAGGGAAGAAGCCCCAGAGCTGCAGATTTAACAAAAATTCCCAGCACAGCTGAGAGCAGCACAATCCTCAGCTGTCTGAGCCAATTAAACTCAAAAAAAAAAAAGCCTTTTTAAAGGTTAGAGTCACAAAAAAACCCATTCTTCTCTCAGCTGGCTGTGCCTGCAGCTGTTTACTGCAAACCAGCTGCTCTCTGCACTGCAGATTTTTTGGGGGTTCAGGCAGGACAAGGAGTGGGAAAAGAGAGGGGATTCACCACCAGGAATCAGGGGAGGACAATTGCTGGTTATTATGGTCTGTAAACTGAAATTTCCTCTGAATTTGGACAGCACAGGCAGCAGGGAATCAGATTAAGGCAGGAAGGAGCATCCCTGGCTGAGCATTCCAGGAGCTCCAATCCCAGATTCCTGCAGCAAACCTGGGTGTGGCACTCTGAGCTCTGGGCTGGGTGACAAAGGGGACATCAGCCACAGGCTGGGGGGCTTTTCCAGCCTGAATGACCCTGGGAAATCAACCAGATCCCTGTGGAATGGGGGAAGCACTCAGCACACAGACCTCATGTAGTGAAATTCCAGTGCCAGGTCGTTCCAGTGCTTCTCATCCGGAGGGACCACGGATTTGAGGGCGCAGGGGAAGTGTCCCCCCCAGCTGTCACACAGGTACACCACCCCGTACTGGCCTCGGCCCAGCTCCCTGCCCAGCTTGGGCTTCCCTGCAAGGCAACAATCCCAAAAATCAGCGCCCAATCCAAAGTGACAAATCCCAAAAAACAGCCCCACGGCCCAGCAGGCCCCCCGGCAGAGGCAGCTGACCGTGCAGCAGCACGTCCTGCAGGGATCTGCTCTCCAGGGAGAGGCGGGCCAGCCGCGGCGCGTGCTCCTTCCTGACGCGCAGCCACAGGTCCTCGGTCCTCTCCAGCCGGCCCGAGTGGCCGTCCTCCAGCTGCAGGGACAGCGCAGCTCGTGGGACACGCGGGGCTGGCACGGGCCCACACACCTCACAAACACCCTTTACACACACGGGGATGCTTACACAGACACACACATTTACATATACAGATAGATTTCGAGATATATATATAGATTTAGATAGATTTATAGAGCTTTAGATAGATATATAGATTGAGATAGATATATAGACTTAGAGGTACATATAGATTTAGATAGATAGATATTTATAGATTTAGAATACATCTAGGTTTAGATAGATATAGAGATTTAGATATAGAGATTTAGATAGATATATAGAGATTTAGATAAATATATATACAGATTTAGATAAATATATATACAGATTTAGATAAATATATATACTGATTTAGATAAATATATATACAGATTTAGATATGTATATATAGATTTAGATAGAGATTTAGGTAGATATAGATTTAGATATATATAGATTAAGATATACATGTATGTTATATCTATATATATCTATGCATATTTACATATATTTCTATAAAACATCCATAAATATTAAATTACATTTAAACATTAAATATATATTAAATATTATATAAACATATAAACATTAAATATACATTTAATCATTTGTTTACCACGTTTTATGCATTTAATCAATTGCTTAGGGATGTTTTATACATTTAATCAATTGTTCAGGGATGTTCTGTACACTTAACAAATTGTTTATGGATGTTTTATACATTTAATACATGCACAGCTGGAGTTTAGGGAGGTTTTAGGCTCTTCACAAGTCTGGTTTAAAAACAAAACCTCAAATTACTGCTCACATCAGCTGCGCTAAGAGCACAAATTGCTGCTTTTGCACTTAAAACTCCAGTTCCCATCCCCAGCCCCGAGCTCCTGGGCAGATTTTGGTGTTTTTGCAGCTCAAACCCCACATTTCTCCCCCAGCCCTGAGCCCCAGGGCAGTTTTTTGGTGTTTTTGCAGCTCAAACCCCACATTTCCCTCTCAGCCCCGAGCTCCAGGGCAGATTTTGCAGTTCAAACCCCACATTTCTCCCCAGCCCAGGGCAGTTTTTGCAGCTCAAACCCCACATTTCCCCCCAGCCCCGAGCCCCAGAGCAGATTTTGCAGTTCAAACCCCACATTTCCCCCCCAGACCCATGGCAGATTTTGCAGCTCAAACCCCACATTCCCCCCAGCACCGAGCCCCCCCATTCCCCCCAGCCCCGAGCCCCAGGGCAGATTTTTGGTGTTTTTGCAGCTCAAAGCCCCCATTCCCCCTAGCCCCGAGCCCTTGGGCAGTTTTTGCAGCTCCAACCCCCCATTCCCCCAGCCCCGAGCCCTGACCTGGCGCAGGGAGGCGGCGAAGGCCTCGTGGGAGCTGTTGAGGCGCGTGCGGAACTGGCTGCAGATGCTCTTGGCCAGCTTGGAGGCGCTGAGGCTCTCGATGGCGTCCTGGGCCACCTTCCTCTTCCAGTCGCTGGTGATGGCCGGGGGGCTGACCCACGTAATCCGCTGGATTATCTGGGAAAATCACGGAATCACCAGGCTGGAAGAGAGCTTTGAGATCATGGAGTTCAACCCAGCCCTAACGCCTCAATTAAAGCCCGAAAATCAGCCCCAATCCATGGCACCAATCCCAAAAATCAGCTCCAATCCACGACACCAATTCCTGGAATAAACCCCAAATCAAGGCACCAATCCCTGCAATCAGCACCAGTCCAAGGCACAAATCCCAAAAATCAGCCCCCAACCCAAGGCAAAAATTCCTGCAATCAGCCCCAGTGCAAGGCACAAATCTCTGCAATCAGCCCCAAATCCAAGACCCCAATCCCAAAAATCAGCCCCCAGTCCAAGGCACCAATCCCTGGAATCAGTCCAAATCCAAGGCACAAATCCCAAAAATCAGCCCCAGTCCAAGGCCCCAATCCCAAAAATCAACCCCAATCAAGGCCCCAATCCCAAAAATCAGCCCAATCCAAGACCCCAATCCCAAAAATCAGCCCCCAGTCCAAGGCACCAATCCCTGGAATCAGTCCCAATCCAAGGCACAAATCCCAAAAATCAGCCCCAGTCCAAGGCCCCAATCCCAAAAATCAATCCCAATCAAGGCCCTAATTCCAAAAATCAACCCCAATCAAGGCCCTAATTCCAAAATTCAGCCCCCAATCCAAGGCCCCAATCCCAAAAATCAACCCCAATCAAGGCCCCAATCCCAAAAATCAGCCCCAATCCAAGACACCCAGTGCCACATCCAATCTTTTTTTAAACACATCCAGGGATGGTGACTCCACCACCTCCCATTCCACAACTTCATCACTCTTCCAGTAAAAAACCTTTTCCTAAATCCAACCTAAATTTCCAACTGAAATCCCTCCTCTGAGCTGGAACTTTATTCCCTCCTCAGATGGATGAGCAAGAACAAAACCTTTCCTCAAACAATCCCAGCTCAGAGTGGGAACAAACTCCAGATTCCTCCTCCTCCCTTCCTGGGAGAGGGATCCACTCCGGAATTCTGTGGTTTCTAATGAAGGGTGAGGCAGAGCAAATTAATTACCCACTAATTACAGGAAGTGCTGATTCCAACATGTGGAATTTCCACACCTTGGCTCAGGAACAAGCTGCTTCCCTGGAAATTTCACCAATTTGGGAACAGCTCTCCCTGATTTTTCCACCAATATTGTGGAATGAGAATCCTGGAATTCCCAGAATGGTTTGGACTGGAAAGGATTTTAAATTTTATCCCATTCCACCACCCCAGGCTGCTCCAATCTCCATCCTTGGGCACTTCCAGGCATGGAAATCCCCAGGAATAAACGTCCAGAGTGAATTTTGGGAGGAGCTGAGAGGATTTTTTGCTCCTAAATCCCCTTTTCCAAGCATCCACACCTGTTTGATCTGTTCCCACAACATCCTGGTCACCGTTGAGCCCGAGTGGAACGTGACCTCCACGTGATAGGCTGCATTCAGGATCTGGAAAAGCAGGGAAAAGAGGGAAAAGTGGGAATTCTGCCAGCCAGGAGCTTTGCCAGAGCCTTTGAAAATGGAAAAAATTGGGATATTCCATGAATCACTTGGTTAATTGATGTATTGTGTTGTTTCATGGGTGTTTTGAGGCTGTAATCTGATTATTTTATACAGGTTTATCAGATAACTGATTTATTGTGTTATTTCCCATTGATTTGTTGTGTTGTTTCATGGGTGTTTTGAGGCTGTAATCTGATTATTTTATACAGGTTTATGAGATAATTGATTTATTGTGTTATTTCCCATTGGTTTATTGTGTTGTTTCATGGGTGTTTTGAGGCTGTAATCTGATTATTTTATACAGGTTTATCAGATAACTGATTTATTGTGTTATTTCCCATTGATTTATTGTGTTGTTTCATGGGTGCTTTTAGGCCTTAATTTGATTATTTTATACAAGTTTATGAGATAATTGATTCATTGTGTGATTTCACATTGGTTTATTTTGTTGTTTCATGGGTGGTTCTAGGCTGTAATTTGATTATTTTATACATGGTTATGAGATAATTGATTTACTGTGTGCTATGTCATGTGTGATTTATGGCCATAATTTGATTTTTTAATACAGATTTAGGAACTAATTGATTTACTGTGTTATCTCATGGCCATAATTTGACCATTTCACCCAAATTTGGGACCATGGCAGATCCACCACCACAATCCCCACCTGTCTGAGACAGCTGCTGGTGATGTGCATGGAGCCCTCCCTGGGTTTCTCCAGAGTTTTTAGGTGTTTTTATGGCCTTAATTTGATTATTTTATACATGTTTATGAGATAATTGACTTACTGCATTATCTCATGTGTGTTCCATGGCCATAATTTGATTATTTTATACATGTTTAGGAGATAATTGATTGATTGTATTACCTCATGTGCGTTTTTGTGCTGTAAATTGATTATTTTATACAGATTTGGGAGCTAAGTGATTTACTGTGTTATCTCATGTGTGTTTTAATGCTGTAATTTGACCATTTCACCCAAATTCAGGACCATGCCTCAATCCCCACCTGTTTGAGACAGTTGCTGGTGATGTGCATGGAGCCATCCTGGGGTTTCCCCAGAGATTTTAGCTGTTTATGGCCATAATTTGATTATTTTATAAAGGTTTATGAGATAATTGATTTACTGTGTTATCTCATGTGTGTTTCCATGCTGTAATTTAACTATTTTACATAAATTCAGGGCCATGGCAGTCCCACACCTGATCCCCACCTGTTTGAGATAGCTGCTGGTGACGTGCACGGATCCATCCCTGGGTTTCTCCAGAGTTTTTAGGTATTTTTAGACCATAATTTGATTATTTTATACAGGTTTATGAGATAATTTATTTACCACGTTATCTCATGTGTGTTCCATGGCCATAATTCGATAATTTTACACACTATTGTGAGATAACTGATTCACTGTGTTATCTCCTGGCCGTAATTTGAGCATTTCACCCAAATTCAGTTCCACACCTGATGCCCACCTGTTTGAGACAGCTGCTGGTGATGTGCACGGATCCATCCCGGGGTTTCTCCAGAGTTTTTAGGTGTTGTGAGACCATAATTTGATTATTTTATACATGTTTATGAGACAATTGACTTACTGCATTATCTCATGTGTGTTCCATGGCCATAATTTGATTATTTTATACATGTTTAGGAGATAATTGATTGATTGTATTACCTCATGTGCGTTTTTGTGCTGTAAATTGATTATTTTATACAGATTTGGGAGCTAAGTGATTTACTGTGTTATCTCATGTGTGTTTTAATGCTGTAATTTGACCATTTCACCCAAATTCAGGACCATGCCTCAATCCCCACCTGTTTGAGACAGTTGCTGGTGATGTGCATGGAGCCATCCTGGGGTTTCCCCAGAGATTTTAGCTGTTTATGGCCATAATTTGATTATTTTATAAAGGTTTATGAGATAATTGATTTACTGTGTTATCTCATGTGTGTTTCCATGCTGTAATTTAACTATTTTACATAAATTCAGGGCCATGGCAGTTCCACACCTGATCCCCACCTGTTTGAGATAGTTGCTGGTGACGTGCACGGATCCATCCCTGGGTTTCTCCAGAGTTTTTAGGTATTTTTAGACCATAATTTGATTATTTTATACAGGTTTATGAGATAATTTATTTACCACGTTATCTCATGTGTGTTCCATGGCCATAATTCGATAATTTTACACACTATTGTGAGATAACTGATTCACTGTGTTATCTCCTGGCTGTAATTTGAGCATTTCACCCAAATTCAGTTCCACACCTGACCCCCACCTGTTTGAGATAGTTGCTGGTGATGTGCACGGATCCATCCCGGGGTTTCTCCAGAGTTTTTAGGTGTTGTGAGAGTGTGTTTCCATGCTGTAATTTAACTATTTTACATAAATTCAGGGCCATGGCAGTCCCACACCTGATCCCCACCTGTTTGAGATAGCTGCTGGTGACGTGCACGGATCCATCCCTGGGTTTCTCCAGAGTTTTTAGGTATTGTGAGACCATAATTTGATTACTTTTACATGTTTATGAGATCACTGATTCACTGTGTTATCTCCTGGCTGTAATTTGAGCATCTCACCCAAATTCAGTTCCACACCTGATACCCACCTGTTTGAGATAGCTGCTGGTGACATGCATGGATCCATCCCTGCGTTTCTCCAGAGTTTTTAGGTATTGTGAGACCATAATTTTATACACGTTTATGAGATAACTGATTCACTGTGTTATCTCCTGGCTGTAATTTGAGCATCTCACCCAAATTCAGTTCCACACCTGATGCCCACCTGTTTGAGACAGCTGCTGGTGATGTGCACGGATCCATCCCGGGGTTTCTCCAGAGTTTTTAGGCATTGTGAGACCATAATTTTATACATGTTTATGAGATCACTGATTCACTGTGTTATCTCCTGGCTGTAATTTGAGCATCTCACCCAAATTCAGTTCCACACCTGATGCCCACCTGTTTGAGATAGTTGCTGGTGATGTGCACGGATCCATCCCGGGGTTTCTCCAGAGTTTTTAGGCATTGTGAGACCATAATTTTATACATGTTTCTGAGATCACTGATTCACTGTGTTATCTCCTGGCTGTAATTTGAGCATTTCACCCAAATTCAGTTCCGCACCGGATGCCCACCTGTTTGAGATAGTTGCTGGTGATGTGCACGGATCCATCCCGGGGTTTCTCCAGCCCCCGGGGCGGGTGCACGGAGCCCTCCCAGGACTCCTCCAGGCTCTTGAGGCAGCGCTCCAGGGTGCCCACGAAGCTCTCCCTCAGGTAATCCACGGAGCTGATCAGCTTGTTGGCCACGGCCTGGTTCAGCCTGGAGATGATCAGCTCCTGGATCTGCTGGATGCAGCGCTTGATGTCCTTGGAGCTGACGGGCTCGCCGCTCTCGGGAATGATGATGTCTGCAGGGAAAGGAGCAAAAGTCATCCTGGAGATCTGGGATTGGTGGGAGAACGGTCCTGAGGGGTGCACATGCTGATGCTGATGTTGTTTTAAAATAATGTTCTTCCCAGTGATGCCAGAATTGCATTATTATTGTTTTAGACAAGATTATGATCATTTTATTCAAGATTATTAATTATTATTTTATCCAAGATTTATAATTTTATCCAAGATTTATGATCATTATATCCAATATTATTATCATTATTTTATCCAAGATTATTACAATTATTTTATCCAAGGAAATGGATTTTGCCTGACCCCTGATTTTCATCTGTGTTTGGGGCTCTGTGACCATCCAGGAATTGCACGTTGGAGTCTCACTGAATTCATGGAATTATTGTGGTCAGGACCTGCCTGATCCCAGATTTTAATTCCTGGTTAGGGTTCTGGGATCATCTGGGAATTGCGGATTGGAATCCCACTGAATTAGTGGAATTATTGTGGTCAGGACCTGCCTGATCCCAGATTTTAATTCCTGGTTAGGGTTATGGGATCATCTGGGAATTGCAGATAGGAATCCCACTGAATTAGTGGAATTATTGTGGTCAGGACCTGCCTGATCCCAGATTTTAATTCCTGGTTAGGGTTATGGGATCATCTGGGAATTGCAGATTGGAATCCTACTGAATTAGTGGAATTATTGTGGTCAGGATCTGTCTGATCCCTGATTTTCATCCTCATTTGGGGGTCTGTGACCATCCAGGAACTGCAGGTTGGAGTCTCACTGAATCCATCAATCATTGTGGTCATGATCTGCCCAATGCCAGATTTTGATTAATGCTCAGCATTCTGAGACCACCTGGGAATTGCAGGCTGGAGTCTCACTGAATTCCTGGAATTATCATGGTCAGGATCCGCCTGATCCCTGATTTTCATCCTCGTTTGGGGTCCTGTGACCATCTGGGAATTGCAGGCTGGAGTCTCACTGAATCCATGAATTGTTGCGGTCAGGATCTGCCTGATCCCTGATTTTGATTCATGTTCAGCATTCTGGGACCACCGGGAATTGCAGGTAGGAGTCTCACTGAATTAATGGAATTATTGTGGGCAGGATCTGCCTGATCCTCGATTTGAGTTTAGGGCTCTGTGACCATCTGGGAATTGCAGGCTGGAATCCCACCAAACTGCTGTGCCAATTTTGCATTTCTTCCCAACTCCCTTCCCCCCAGCACCCCAAACCCTCCAGCTGGCTCCCACCTCGGAACTCCATGCTGGCAGCATCCTCCAGCAGCTCCTCCTTCATGTTGCCCAGGGTATCCACGATCATCTCCTTCATCTCCTCCTGCTTGCGGTTGGCGATGCCCATCAGCGACTCGTAGAGCTCGTTCTCCTTCCTGCGCGTGTACTCCAACCTTTTCGGGGTGATCTGCAGGTCCCGCTGCATGTCGAAGGCCTGGTTGATGAAGATGTTGAGGCAGCGCCCGTGAACCTCGCTCAGCCTCGTGGCTGCCTCCACCAGGTGCTGCTGCAGCACCTGCCTGGAGAAGGAGCTCAGCAGCCGCAGCTTCTCCAGCTGCTCCACCAGCATGGAGGAGCCGGGAACGCCACAGCCGCAGGGGCTGGAGGGGCTCAGGTATTCCAGATCCAGCAGCTGCAGGTGCAGCGGGGATTTGTCCTTGGTGGGGTTTTTGGGAGAGCTCAGCTCGCTGCTGGCCTCGGGGATTCGCAGGAAGAAGATGGGGAGGGAGAATTTTTGTTTGATTTCCCGAAGTTCTGCCTGGTCCGATGGGGACAGCTGGGGCTCGCTGATGGCGAAGGTGACAACGGGCAGCACCTGGTTCACAAGCTCGGCCAGGGTGGCCTCAGCTGACTGGAAGCCTCGGCATGGAGCCACCACGATGTCCACCTCCTGGGAAAAAGAAAAATGGAGGAGCTTTGGAGAGGCTTTTTCCATGGAAAAATGCCCTGGGAGTCGTTCACAGCAAAAAACTGGAATTCTTCAAAGCAGATCTGGAGTCTCACCTGCAAGGCTGATCCCTAACTCCAAATTCCTTATTTTGGACCAAATCCTTGCAGTTTTAGGACAAAAGTTAGGACAAGTGTCCCAGGAAAGAGCCAGCAGGGGAATTTATTGAACAGGACAGCGGCAGTGCCATCCTAAGCTCCCTGTGGACCAGGGCAGGGACAATGGCAGTGTCACCCTGAACTCCCTACAGATCAGGGCAGGGACAATTTGGAAATTAATTTATCAGGGCTGTAAATGTCATCCCCCAAGTGCCAGGGACAGTGGCAGTGCCACCTCAAGCTCCCCACAGACCATGACAGTGGCAGTGCCACCCTAAGCTCCCCACAGACCATGACAGTGGCAGTGCCCCCCCAAGCTCCCCACAGACCAGGACAGTGGCAGTGCCACCCTAAGATCCCCACAGACCATGACAGTGGCAGTGCCACCCCAAGCTCCCAGGCACCGGGGCAGTGCCAGGCACGGTGCCACCCTCACCTTGAGCAGCGCGCAGGGCAGCACCACCTCCAGCTCGGCCACCCTCTGCGCGGGATCCTCGGCGTCCCCAGGCACCTGCAGGTCCTGCTCGGGGATGGTGTCCCAGTGCCCGCTGTGTGCCACCAGCGCCTGCACCAGCTCGTACTGCCCGGGCAGCGCCAGGCTCAGCCGCGGCCGCGCCCCGTGCGTGAAGCGCACCCGACGGCGCCGGCAGCGCTCCTCGGTGCCCGTGCCAGCCCCGGGGGTGGGCAGCAGCTCCTCGGTGTCCGTGCCAGTCCCGGGGGTGGGCAGCAGCTCCTCAGTGCCCGTGCCAGCCCCGAGGGTGGGCAGCAGCTCCTCGGTGTCCGTGCCAGCCCCGGTGGGCAGCAGCTCCTCGGTGCCAGTCCCAGGGGTGGGCAGCAGCTCCTTGGTGCCAGTCCCAGGGGTGGGCAGCAGCTCCTTGGTGCCAGTCCCAGGCAGCAGCTCTTCAGTGCCAGTCCCAAGGGTGGGCAGCAGATCCTCAGTGCCAGTCCCAGGCAGCAGCTCCTCAGTGCCAGTCCCAAGGGTGGGCAGCAGCTCTGCAGTGCCAGCACCAGGCAGCAGATCCTTGGTGACAGCCCCAGGGGTGGGCAGCAGTTCCTCGGTGACAGCCCCAGCAGCAGGCAGCAGCTCCTTGGTACCAGTCCCAGGGGTGGGCAGCAGCTCTGTGGTGCCAGCCATGGGCAGCAGCTCTGTGGTGCCAGCCATGGGCAGCAGCTCCTTGGTGCCAGTCCCAGGGGTGGGCAGCAGCTCCTGGCCCAGCAGCATGTTCAGCAGGCGGCCCTTGGCGCGGCAGTTCTGGCCCAGGATCAGCAGGCATGGCCTCCAGCTCACCGAGCGCTGCAGCTGCTCCTCCTCGTGCCGCGGGAACGAGACGGGGCTGGGGCCTGAAACGGGGACAGGGCTCAGGGGTGGGCCCTAAAAATGGGACACTGCAGCCCCACAGCCCGGGGGAACGCCCAGAGCAGCTGCTGGATGGGGGAGTTCCTGCTGTGCCATGGCAGGGTGATGGCAGGAAAAGAATTAATTTATTATTGTTATAGGACCACAGAATTCCACCAAGGAAGGGATGAGCCCCAGGGAAGGCACTTTGCTGCCAGCCAGAAGGTTCTGGAACAGCCTCAGAGCCCACAAACAGCCCTCAGACCCAAAAACCTCCCTCAGAACCCACAAACCTCTCTCAGAACCCACAAACCTTCCCCAGAGCCCACAAGGTTCCCTCAGACCCACAAACCTCCCTCACACTCTACAAACCTCTCTCAGAGCCCACAAACGGCCCTCACACCCCACAAATGTTGCTCAGATCCTACAAACATCATTCAGAACCCACAAACAGCCCTCAGAGCCTACAAGCCTCTCTCCGAGCCCACAAATGGCCCTCACACCCTACAAATGTTGCTCACACCCTACAAACATCACTGAGACCCCACAAATGGCCCTCAGAGCCCATAAACTTCCCCCAGACACTACAAACCTCACCCAGACCCCACAAACCTCCCTCAGAACCCACAAACTGCCCTCAGACTCCACAAACTGCCCTCACACCCCACAAACTTCCCTCACACCCCACAAACCTCCCTCCCTCCCCACAAACATCACCTGGCTGTGCCAATGCAGGCTCAGGGCTGAGGGCCCTCACACCCCACAAACCTCCCTCCCCCCCCACAAACATCACCTGGCTGTGCCAATGCAGGCTCAGGGCTGAGTTTAGCTCCTGTTTTCTTTTTTAAAAAGTCCAAAACCAGCTTTGGCAGGAGCTAAATTCAGCGTTACCCTCGTGCACAGCAGCAGAATGACTCTGACAGCCCCAAAAACACAAACAAATCCCTCATCAGGAACACAAAAATTCCACAGCATGCGGCCCAGGAATGAAATTAAATGGGAAATGGAGCCACCAGTCCCTAAAAAAATGCCCAATTTGAGAGGTACAAAGCACTAGGATTGCTCTGATACTCGAAGGGATTTTACAGGGTTAAAAATCCTGTTTAAAAATTGCTGTTAATTTTTTTCTTTTTTCATGAGTCATGTTCTGGCAGCCCAAATTGTCAGGAAAACAAGATCCTCCACTAGGATCCTACTCACACTCCAAACCCCATTAAAGAGATCCTACAACACATCCCTCTCCTCACTCTGACAGCTTAATCACTCCAGTTTAATTAAAATCAGCCAAATTGGGAGCACTTTGTGTAGTCTTACATTGGTTTAAAGCTCCTTTAAAACCCTGCCCAAGGTTTGCCTTCCCCTCAAATCTTCCAGCTGGAAATAGGATTTTGGAGGAGTTTTTCCACCCCAAAACTAAGGAAAAACCCTCTTTGTGGCTCAGCACTGCACCTCTGCCCCACAGAACCCCAATTCTGGATAACTCCCTAAAAAATACATTTATTTCTGGAAGCTGAGCCCCAGCACACACCATTAAGAGAACCCCCACTTGCTGCCCAAAACTCTGGGGATTTCCTCCAAAAATTCCTAAAATAAGGCAAAAGAAACCTCCAAACCCTCAGGTTTCCAGGTCAGATTGTTCCAATCATTACAGGCACGAAGAAAACAACTCCAATGAGCAGAAAACAGTTTGATTTTTTTTTCTATTTTATGCTGCAAAAATGCCCAAACCCCGAGTTTGGGAATGGCTGAAGGGAGGAATCTCTCCTTGAAATGTGATTTTTGAGATTGTTTTCCAAACAAGCCTTTCAAGAGCCACATCAAGTGACCAGAGGGCTGGAAGCTGACCAGGAGCTCACAAAAGATAAAGATCTGGGAAAATCCCACAAATTGCACATTTGAGCCTTCATCTGTAGGATGGCTTTGATCTGGGGACATTGCTTGGAGCTTCTCCTGGGATTCAGGCTCCGGAGCATGAAAACAGCAATTCAGGGAGGGCTGCAGAGGCAGAGCCTTTTCTCTGCTGAGGCTTCTGAAGGCAAAAGAGGCAGCAGAGCTCCCTCTCCTCCATCCAGGAAGGCTCAGAATTGGTGGATTCTTAAATCCAGCAAAAATATCTCCGAAAAATCACAGGGATACAGCAGCTTAAATGAAATTATTGAAGGATTATTTATAAGGGTGGAGAATCCTGGGATGGTTTGGCTTGGACCTTAAAGCTGATCCTGTTCCTCTGTCATTCAGGGACACCTTTAGTGGCCCAGGCTTTGGACACTCCCAGGGATGGAACAGCCATGGATTCTCTGGGAATTCCATCCCAGCCCCTCCCCACCCTCACAGAGAGGAATTTCTTCCTATATGCCATCTAAACCTTCCCTCATTCCTCTTATCCAGATGAAAATTTCCCCTTCCAGCCTTCTTGGAGCTCCTTTGGCTATTGGGAAACTGCTCCAAAGTCCTGCCACATCCATCTTTCCTCCAGGATCTGAGGTTAAAACACCTTTCCCAAGGTCCTCCCAAATCCATCTTTCCTCCAGGATCTCAGGTTAAAACACCTTCCCTGTGATTCCACACCCCGTGGTCAGCATGGACACAGATCCAGGGTGGGAGGGACTCAACAAAAAGTGGGATCAGAGCTTCCCACTTTTGAGGGATGCAGCCACATTCCTGAGCAGAGCCAGGGGCTGGAGCTCCACCCTGGCTCCATCCCAGCTCCATCCCAATTCCACCCCAGCCCCATCCCAGATCCACCCTGGCTCCACCCCAATTCCAATCCCTGCTCCATCCCAATTCCATCCCAGCTCCATCCCAATTCCATCCCAGCTCCACCCCAATTCCAATCCCTGCTCCATCCGAGCTCCATCCTGGCCCCACCCTGGTTCCATCCCAATCCCATCCTGGCTCCATCCCAGTTCCATCCAGGCCCTATCACAGATCCACCCTGGCTCCACCCCAATTCCATCCCTGCTCCATCCCAGCCTCATCCCAATTCCATCCCAGCCCCACCCAGCTCCATCCCAATTCCATTCTGGCTCTATCCCAATTCCATCCCGGCCCCATCCCAGATCCCAGATCCACCCAGCTCCATCCCAATTCCATCCCGGCTCCATCCCCTATCCCAAATCCACCCTGGTTCCATCCCAATTCCATCCCAGCTCCATCCCAATTCCATCCTGGCTCCATCCCAGCCCCCCCCGGCTCCATCCCAATTCCATCCCTGCTCCATCCCAGCCTCATCCCAATTCCATCCCTGCTCCATCCCAGCCTCATCCCAATTCCATCCCTGCTCCATCCCAGCCCCACCCGGCTCCATCCCAATTCCATCCCGGCTCCATCCCCTATCCCAGCCCCACCCGGCTCCATCCCAGATCCATCCCGGCTCCATCCCAATTCCATCCCGGCTCCATCCCCTATCCCAGATCCACCCTGGTTCCATCCCAGATCCATCCCGGCTCCATCCCAATTCCATCCCGGCTCCATCCCTGCCGGGCCGTGTGACCAGCCCCGGGGCACACATCCCATGAATCCCGGGATGAAAGGAGGCCTGTCCTTGGAACAAGGGCGGCTCTCAGCAGGACTCCTCTCCAAATCCACTCAAAGCTCGGCAGAACAACCTCAGCTCGGACTTATGGAATCTGTGGAAGCTCCAAGCATTGATTCATCCCTTTTCCTGCACTTTGATGGTCTCGCTTGCCTTTATTCCGTTTTCCAGACTCTGTTTTTGCCAGTATTGAGGGTTTTTCCAAGGATTCTGGCCATTTCTGAGCTGCTGGTTTTGACTCCCAGCAGGCTTTGACCACCACGAGATTTAATCTCGACACATTTGTATCAAAACCAGCTTGGAGCACCCTGGAGCGTGTGGGACTGGATGGGGTTTAAGGTCCTTAAACCAGTCTGGAATTCTAAATAAATCCACTTTTAGTTCCATATCAGCACAGAGGTGTTGATTCCAGGAGAAAACAAATCCAATTAATTCTGATTTCAGCAGCTCCAAAGGCTGCAGAGCCAAATTCCATCCTCTGAAGCTCCTTGGGAAATCCTTTCATCAGCCTGAGGAGTTATGACACAAATGCCATCCCAACCACCTCTCCACTGCTCTTAAATCCAACTTTTTACCCCCAAAAGGAGCCCTAATCCTCACGGGATCACAGTGATATCAGCAGAGCTCACATTTGAACAGGATAAACCCCTCAGAGCCAGCAGAGATCAACACAAAAACTCGTCCAAACCCTCTGGATAACTCCCTAAAAAATACATTTATTTCTGGAAGCTGAGCCCCAGCACACACCATTAAGAGAACCCCCACTTGCTGCCCAAAACTCTGGGGATTTCCTCCAAAAATTCCTAAAATAAGGCAAAAGAAACCTCCAAACCCTCAGGTTTCCAGGTCAGATTGTTCCAATCGTTAGACACAAAGAAAACAACCCCAATGAGCACAAAACAATTTGATTTTTTTTTCATACCTTTACCCATTTTATGCTGCAAATCCCTAACTCAGCTTTTGTTTTTAAACCTCCCCAAGAACCCAGAAGCCTGAGGATTGGAGGAAATTCCCAAATTCCCAATAGGCAATTCCTGGAACACCATCCCAGGATTCTATTTGTACATCCTCACAAATAATCCTTCAGTAATTCCAGTTCAGCTGCTGCACCCCACTAATTTTTTTTTGGGGGGGAATTCAGTAATTCCAGTTCAGCTGCTGCACCCCAGTAATTTTTTGGGGGGGGAATTCAATCATTCCAGTTCAGCTGCTGCACCCCAGTGACTTTTTGGGGGGATTTTTGGGCTGGAATGAAAGGATCCCCAAATTCCCAGCGTGCCTGGAGCGAGGAGAGGGAGCTCTAGGGAAGAGCCAGGTTTTTGCTGACTCCCTGGGAAAGGCAGGCAGAGCAAACACAACTTTCCCTTCCCTCACAAACAGTGGCTGCCCCTGGATCCAGCTCAGTTCTGCTACCAGGAGTAACCTGGGAGTAACCTCAGAGCAGCAAAACCTTGCAGTGATGGGAGCTGTGTCACCCTCCAAGCAGGGAAAGTGGGAAATGAAAGGATTTATTGTCTCCTTGAGCTCACCTGGGGGGCTCAGGGGCTCCTACTCAGCAGATACTCAGCAGATACTCAGCCCTGGTTGTGTCTGGGAGCTGATCCAAAGGGAATTTCCCTCCCTGTGCTGTCACAATCCGTCCTGCAGGTGCCCCAAAAGCAAACCCTCCACGCTGCTTTGGTTTCCACGACATCCACGTTTATTTTCCAGGTTGGTTTTCCCCCCCAGCTCCCTCTGTGCTGCACAAAACTGACCCTGCACAAGCCCTTGGGTGAAATTCCCCTACTTTGGTACCACCTGAGGGGCAGATTTTGGGGAAAAGTCAAGGAAAATTGAGCTCCTTAAACCTCCTGACACCTAAAATCCTCCCCAGGGGAAAAAGGAGGATTTCCACCATCCTGGTTTGATCCCAGCCACGTCCAGCCTGGCTTTGGGGGCTCCCAGGGATGGGGCAGCCACAGATTCCCTGGGAATTCCATCCCAGCCCCTCCCAGGGAAGGATTTATTCCCAATATCCCACCCAAAGCAGCCCAGGAATCCTGGAATGGGTTGGGTTGCAAGGGATCATCCAATCCCATGGGCAGGGACACCTCCCACTATCCCAGATTGCACTTAATCAATTTTTAGCCACATTTTTGCCACATTTTAAGCCATATTTTAGCTGTATTTTTATCTATATTTTATGTATTTTTATCTCTTTTTTTTTTCCACTTTTAATCCATTTTTTATCCACTACCAAACTTGACCTTGGACACTCTTAGGGATCCAGGGGCAGCCACAGATTCTCTGGGAATTCCAGGGAGGAATTTATTCCCAATATCTCATTCAAAGCAGCCCAGGGAATGTTGGGATGGGTTGGGTGGAAAGGGATCATCCAATCCCATGGGCAGGGACACCTCCCACTATACCAGGGTACCATTTGATCAATTTTTTTTCTATTTTTTTCATTTTATCCAAAGTCCAACCTGGCCTGGGACATTCCCAGGGATGGAGCAGCCACAGATTCCCTGGGAATTCCATCCCAGCCCCTCCCAGGGAAGGATTTATTCCCAAAATCCCATCCCTCCCTGCCCTCTGGCAGTGCCATTCCCTGTGTGCTGGCACTCCATCCCTTGGAAATATTGGAAATATTCCAGCTTTTCTCGTCAGGTCACCCCAAATCCTCCTCTTCTCCAGGCACAACAATCCCAAATTCCAAACATCACAGGCTCACCTGGCTCTCTGCTCCTTCCCAAAATCTCCCTCCCCAGCCTGCCTGGTGAGAGGGGCAGCAGCCACTCCCCAAAATCCCGAGGTATTCCCAAAACCTTTCCAGCCACAACTCGGGAAAATGAACCCCAAATCAGCCCAAAACCAATTTTTTTTTTCTTTTTTATATACACACAGCCAGAAAAACTCAACACTTGGACCATGAAACCAGGATTTGGAGTGCAAGGTGAGCAGGTCCAAAAATCCTGGACAAGAATCCCGGAGAAGGGGCCACGAGAGATGACTCAGGAGCCTTTTGGGGATGAATGAAGAAGACCTTTATGGACGTGTCACGTCACACCGAGCCCCTCTCACGAGGCAGTCTCATGGAAACACCAAGTGCTGCCCTTGGCAGCAGAGGTGCCACCCTCAGCTCTGTTTGTCAACAACAGATGAGCACGGAGACCCTGCTGAGGCCACAATTCCCACATGGAATTCCGGGACAAACGGGGAGTGCCAGCCCCTCATCCCACCCCCTTCCAGGGGCTGCCTCTTCCCAGCCCCCTCCCCTCCTCTCCCGTGGGGGTCAGGGGGAGAGGGTCCCCATCAGAAATCCATGGCAGGGACCCACAGGGATGGTGGCTGCAGCTCCCGGCCCTGCACAGACACCCCAAAATCCCACCCCGAGCATCCCTGCAGCGCTGTCCAAACGCTCCTGGAGCTGTGCCCATTCCCTGGGGAGCCTGGGCAGTGCCCAGCACCATTTGCGACAAGAATATTTTCCTCACACCCATCCTCGGCCACCCCTGCCCTCCTCCCTTCACCCCACAAAGCCTCTCCCGCCCTCCAGGCACCCCCAGCCCTGTAACCCCCATGACAGCTCCCTCAAGCTGGACGCTTCACTCCGCACCGCAACCCTCGCAAGCCCCCAGAGAGCCCTCACAAGCCCCCCAGAGACCCCTCACCCGCAGAAGTTTCCCCTTTAGCCGCCCAGACCCCTCACCCTCACACCCCGCCCGTCTCTCACCGCCGTCCCCGGGACCCCCATCCCCATCCCAGGCGGGGCGGGGGCCGTCACCGGCAGGCGCCGAGGCGAAGGGATGTCCCTGGGAGAACTTGACGTCGCGGAAGAACCTCTTGGTCTCTCGCAGGTTGTGCTGCAGCCGCGCCAGGTGCCGGTTGTAGTGGCCGAAGGAGCGGCAGAGCTCCCGCACGGCCCCGCCGGGACCCCGCCATGACGGGGCCTCCTCGCCCTCCATGTCCTCCGGGTCCGCCCCGCTATCCCCTCCCCACCGCGGGCAGCTCTCGGGCCCTGCCAGGCTGCCGCCGTTCGGGGAGGAACCTCCCCGAGGATTTTCTCTCCTCCCGACCCCCCCCCACCCCCCGCCCCTCCCGCCTCCCCGACCCCCGCGGCCGCCGCCTTCTCCCGAGGGGAAGCGCCTCCACCGGCCGCGCTGCGTGTGCGCGGAACGTTTGTCGACGCGCCGCAGGGCAAAGGGGGAGGAGGCCCGGCGCACCCCGCGCGCGAGGCACGCTGGGAGATGTAGTTTATTTACTTTTCAATGCAGTTCGTTTTCCCGGCCCGCAGGGCAACGCCGGGAGTTGTAGTCTGTTTTGCCGCAAAGGCTCATGGAACTTGTAGTCTCTCGAAGCCCGGCCGCCGACCTCTCTCCGCGGCCTCTGCGCACCCCCGCGGAGGACGAGAAAAAACACTCCAAAAAGAGAGAACGGCCATGAAATGACGTATTTAAACAGGGGAAGCAAAAGGGGGAGCTCAGACGCCGCCCGCTGTTCCCCCATCCCGCGCTGCGCGGAGCGGCTCGGCAGGAGGCGGCGCGCCCGTCCCCAGCTCCGCTCCGCCTCCGCGAATCACCAGCGGCGGCCCCGCCCTCCGCGCGCCTTCATTGGTCAATCCCTCCCGCCAGCACCGCCCTCCGAACACGCTTCCCCAATCACCGCGCGAGGCTCCCCCTCCTTCGCGTCGCCATTGGCCGGCGGCGCTGTCCCTCAGGCGCGGCGGCGGCGGCGATGCCGGTGCCGGGCACCGCGGCCGTAGGCGCCCCCCGCCGCCGGCACCGCGGGCGCGGCGCTCCCGGGATGAAGCGGTGCCGCTCGGACGAGCTGCAGCAGCCCGAGGAGGATCCCGGCGCCGCGGGGGAGTCGCCCGGTCACGGCGTGATGGAGGGCAAGGCCGGCGAGGCGGCGGCGGCCCCCGAGGCGGGCGCTGTCCCGGCGCCGCCGCGCTCCAAGCCCCCCGACCTGAAGGTGAGCGGCGGGAGCGTCCCGGTGGGACACGGGGGACGGGAAAATCCCGCGGGATCGGCGGGGGGATCCCGGTGCTGGCCGGGCTGGGGAGAGCCCGGCGGGGTCACCGGAGCGATGGAGCTCAGGGGTGCCGCCATCCCCTCGGTCCTACAGGTGTGACCTTGGAGAATGCGGGATGGCTGCGGGGCAGGGGCGCTCCGGGAATGGGGTAACCCTGGGAATGGATCATCCTGGGAATGGGATCATCCTGGGAATGGGGTGCTCCAGGGGCAGGAGACCCCTGGGCACAGGGTGCTCCCGGATTGGGGTGCTCCTGGAATGGGGTAATCCTGGATATGGGGTGCTCCCGGAGGAGGAGACCCCTGCATTGGGGTGCTCCTGGATGGGGATAATCCTGGGAATGGGATGATCTTGGGAATGGGGTACTCCGGGGGAAGAGATCCTTGGATTGGGGTGCTCCTGGACTGAGGTGCTCCTGGACTGGGGATGGTCCTATCAGCAGAGATCCTGCTGGGATTAGGATGCTGCTGAGATGGGGACGGTTCCTGTTCCGGGGATCCTACTGGATGGGGATGCTCCAGGGATGGAGACACTCCTGGGATGGGGAATTGCTGGAATAGGATCCCCCTGGGATGCGGCTGCTCCTGGGGTCGGGATGGGGGTGGTGCTGGTCCCAGGATGGGGCTGGTCCTGCAGTGGGGACGCTCCTGGGATTGGGATTCTCCTGGGATGGAGAAATCCCGGGCGCTGGGGGCTGCCCCGCTGCAGAGGGGCTGCGCAGATCCCGGGAAATCCCTGCCGGGAGTGTCGGGGGGAATAGTCCGGGAGGATCCGTGGGGGAATGCTCCAGGGGGATGCGGGGGAATATGGGGGTGATGCTCCGGGAAGATCCGAGTGGAGATCCAGGAGGATCCAGGGGGATATGGGGAGGATGCTCCGGGAGGATCCGGGGGGGAATGGTCCGGGAGGATCCAGGAGGATCTGTGGGGGGATGCTCCGGGAGGATCTGTGGGGATATGGGGGGAATGCTCCGGGAGGATCCGTGGGGATGCTCCGGGAGGATCCGGGGAGAATGGTCCAGGAGGATCCGGGGGGATCCAGGAGGATCCGGGGGGATATGGAGAGGATGCTCCGGGAGGATCCGGGGAGAATGGTCCAGGAGGATCCGGGGGGATATGGAGAGGATGCTCCGGGAGGATCCAGGAGGATCCGGGGCTGCGGCAGCGGGAGTGACGGTGTGGAAATGGCCCCGAGGCTGCTCCTGCCGGGCCGCTGGAGGAGGAAAACAAACCCCGGGCACTGCGGCGCTGCGGGAGGCACAGAGCCCATCCCGGAGCGGGGATCCGGCCTGAAACCCGGCACACGATTCCCCTGGCTTTGGGAAAAAAAGCAGCTCCGACCCCCGGCGGCTCAACAGGGTTTTATTGGTGAATTCCCAGCGTGGAATTCACGGTGTGCAGGCGTGGGAATGCCGTGGGCAGAGCGGGATCAGAGGCACCCCGTGGTGGGACGGGTGCCACCCACGGTGGTGCTTTCAAAAAGCCCTGGAAAAAGTGGGAAGTGTCCCTGCTCAGCCGTGGGATGCAGGATGCAGCCCCTCGGTGTGGCAGCCCCGGTGGCCCTGACGGTGTCACCGGCGTGGCCAAGGTCACGAGGGAGCCGATGGCACTGCCAGGCTCAGCCGGAACGCAGCCAGGACATCAAATCCCTGTTCCCAGGGGAAAACTCGGCTGCTTTGGGCACCAGGAGCCCCGCGGCTGCTGGAGGTGACACGTGGGGCCTTCCCTCGGTGGCCCGGCAGCTCCTGAGGCTGCTGTGGCTTTGCTGCTGCCCCAAAATCAGCTGGAGGAGCCAGGCCCGGGCCCATCCCTGGGGTGGGAGGGTGGCACGGTTATCCCAGAGCAGCTGGGGCTGTCCCTGGATCCCTGCAGTGTCCAAGGCCAGGCTGGACAGGGTTTGGAGCAGCAGGGACCGTGGGTAGAACTGCATGAGGTTTAAGGTCCCTTCCCAGCCAAACCATTCCGTGATTTTGTGATTCACTAATTCCATGATCCATGAGGATGTGTGCAAGGCCAGGCTGGACAGGGTTTGGAGCAGCAGGGACAGTGGGAGCTGTCCCTGCCCATCCCAGTACAGAACTGGATGAGGTTTAAGGTCCCTTCTCAGCCAAACCATTCCATGATTTTGTGATTGCCTAATTCCATGATCCATGAGGATGTGTGCAAGGCCAGGCTGGATGGAGTCTGGAGCAAAAGGGACAATGGGAAGTGTCCCTGCCCACCCCAGCAGGGGGTGGAACTGGATGAGGTTTAAGATCCCTTCCCAGCCAAGCCATTCCATGATTTTCTGATTCCATAATTCCATGATCCATGAGGATGTGGAGCTCAGGGCCCTGCTTGGCACATCCAAGGTGTTTCTCCCTGTCCTTTCTCCATCCCACCTGGGGCACAGAGGCTCAGAAAGGGGTGGGAGTGTTGGCCAAAGGGAGCTGCAGCTTCCCATGGCTGTGCCCAGCACCCCAAACATTCCAGGGCTGGCACATCCCACCCGGAGCTGGAGCTCCACAGCCTCATCCAGCAGCAGCATCCCAGGCCAAATAAATCCCATTGATTTTATCGAGCTGCCTGTGCTCCCTTCCTGCAGGTTTGCTGCCAGTGCTCACCTTTAATGCGTTTGGAGCTCAGCAATTAATTAAAATAAATCCTCAAACTGGGCAGAAGGAAGGGAAAGCTGGGGCTGGCTGCTGCCCGCAGCTGCCACAGCACAGCGGGCACTGTGCCACGGCCACCACCAGTCAATAAATTAATAAATTGTTAATTAATCTGGGTCTTCCTGCCCCAAACCCCCTGTGGAGCTGCTGGTGGGGTAGGTTCAAGCTGGTCCTGCTGTCCCTGCTCCAAAAATCCAGATTCCTGTCCCTGTGGATGGGGAGGCATCAGAGATTCCTGTCCTTGTGCATGGGGAAGGATCAGAGATTCCTGTCCCCATGGATGGGGAAGCATCAGAGATTCCTGTCCCCGTGAATGATGAAGGATCAGAGATATTGTCCCCATGGATGGGGCAGGATCAGGGATTCCTGTCCCCATGGACGGGGCAGGATCAGGGATTCCTGTCCCCATGGACGGGGCAGGATCAGGGATTCCTGTCCCTGTGCACGGGGAAGCATCAGAGATTGCTGTCCTTGTGCATGGGGATGGATCAGAGATTCATGTCCCTATGAATGATGAAGGATCAGAGATTCCTGTCCCCATGGACGGGGCAGGATCAGGGATTCCTGTCCCCATGGATGGCGCAGGATCAGAGATTCCTGTTCCTGTCCTTTCCCCATGGATGGGGCAGGATCAGGGATTCCTGTCCCTGTCCTTTCCCCATGGACGGGGCAGGATCAGAGATTCCTTTCCCCATGGATGGGGCAGGATCAGAGATCCTTTCCCCATGGATGGCGCAGGATCAGAGATTCCTGTTCCTGTCCTTTCCCCATGGATGGGGCAGGATCAGGGATTCCTGTCCCTGTCCTTTCCCCATGGATGGGGCAGGATCAGAGATTCCTGTCCCCATGGACGGGGCAGGATCAGGGATTCCTGTCCCCATGGATGGGGCAGGATCAGGGATTCCTTTCCCCATGGACGGGGTAGGATCAGGGATTCCTGTCCCTGTGGATGGGGCAGGATCAGGGATTCCTGTCCCTGTCCTGTCCCCATGGATGATGAAGGATCAGAGACTCCTGACCCTGTGGATGGGAAGCATCAGAGATTCCTGTCCCCATGGATGATGAAGGATCAGAGATCCTTTCCCCATGGATGGGGCAGGATCAGGGATTCCTTTCCCCATGGACGGGGTAGGATCAGGGATTCCTGTCCCTGTGGATGGGGCAGGATCAGGGATTCCTGTCCCCATGGATGGGGCAGGATCAGGGATTCCTTTCCCCATGGACGGGGTAGGATCAGGGATTCCTGTCCCTGTGGATGGGGCAGGATCAGGGATTCCTGTCCCCATGGATGGGGCAGGATCAGGGATTCCTTTCCCCATGGACGGGGTAGGATCAGGGATTCCTGTCCCTGTGGATGGGGCAGGATCAGGGATTCCTGTCCCTGTCTTTTCCCCATGGATGGGGCAGGATCAGAGATTCCTGTCCCCATGGACGGGGCAGGATCAGGCTGTCCTTTCCCCATGGACGGGGCAG